GAGGTCGTTTTTGACATCAGAAAGTAGCTGAACCCACAATAGCAGTTAGATTCCTCTTTACAGGAAAGTTAAATTTAAAAAAAATGATTTGAATGAAAAATGAGTTACCAGTTTTATCTGTATTTGTGACAACTATTCAAGGACAGTTGTTATTTAAATAAAATCAGTATATTTAAAATCCAATTTATCATATATCTGTAATAACAGTCGTCTTCTCAAAAAACTGGAGTGAAAAATAAACAATCACAAACCAAAACCTTTTTTAACCAGTAATTGAACTTAAACGTAACTTCCAAACATTTTCGGCCTTCACCAAGGCCTGCTTCAGGTAATGAACTAAAACTGACTTCCAAATTGGACTGTTAGAATGTTGTTGTTTGACTTTAAACTTTGTATATATCAAATTCACGCGGCTGATTGACTTTGTTCGAATTTCTCAAACAGGTATTTCCACGCATGTGCTACCATCTCACAGTCTTGAAAGGCAGGCCCTTCAAACAGACCATATTCGTCACTTGGAGGCCTTGGAAATTTATAAAGCAAACTTGAAAGGCAACTGAGAGACGATGGCGCATGCGTGGAAATACTTGTTCAAGAAATTTGAACAAAGTCAATCAGCCATGTGAATTTGATATATACAGAGTTTAAAGTTGAACATTCTCATTCTAATGGTCCAATTTGGAAGTCAGTTTAGTTCACTACCTGAAGCAGGCCTTGGTGAAGGCCAAAAAAATTCAGAAGTTAAGTTTAAGTTAATTACTGGTTAAAAAAGATTTTGGTTTGCGATTGTTTATTGTATATGTTTTATAATAATAATGAACTCAATAATTTTTCACAATATTTGAGAATGGAAAAAATTTTGTAACAAAATATACTGAGTGAAAATTCTACAGAAATTGTTGTAGCTTATTCAACAAAATCTATTTTTGATATTGAAATTTACTTAAGATGCCCCAATGATCACTTGGAAAACATCTATGTGGAAGCAACCTTTCCAAGCCAATTAGACCAAAATATTCTGGTTCGACTGTAGATGGCGATGACTGTCTGATATAGACGCGGTCAAATCTGAATCGAGGTTTATAGCGGGATCCAGAATTGAATGTTAAATTGTCATTCCTTGTCATATCCCATGTGTAAGCACACTCTTTTCGACTGCCACAAATTACCCACATATCTTCAATTGCTGTAGGAATACTGTGAGGTGGCATTTCTTTATCCCTGAGATTAAGATCTCCTGCTAGAATGACAGCTTTTTCACTTGAAACTTCCAACATTTTATCAAATGCTGTTCTTAATTGTTGCATTCTCTCTTGTGAAGCTTCTCCTGTACTCTCCAAATGTGTATTAAATAATGTTATTGGAATTTTTCCTATTTTAACATCTACCTGTAGCAAATTTCTACCCATACGAGTATTTGGATATTCATGTATATCATGGTCTATATATGAAACAGTATTCTTTTTGAGAAGCGTCACAGTAAAATATTCTACATTGTTACCTGGAATGCATTTATATTCTGGTAGATGTTTAACTATTTCATCTAATGTTTTTGGAATAACTTCTTGCAAAAAGACAATATCAGCATCTTCGCACTTTATTATCTTACAGATACGTCTTATTCTCAATAATTGATTTTTTTCATCAAGTCCATCACTGTTCCAAGTGATGAATTTCAGTGTATGTTTTACATTATTAGAAGAATGACTGTTATTTTCTGCAGAGAACACACACACTTTAGATGAATCACCTGAATCACTCAACTGAAAAACTTTGATATTTTTTTGACTACCAGTTGCATTTTTTTCGAAATAGTCAGATATTGCACTTTGTAAATTCCAATTTCTTTCTTGAAGATATATTTGAGCCCATATTGTATCTGTTTCAGTTATTTCAGCAAACTGTTCACACAGTTTCTGGCAAGTGTCAGCACTTGGTATATCTTCTAACTCTTCACTCATGATTAAATCTTTAAAATGAAAACATAATAAAAATTAACTTGTCTTTACATGACAAATTCAAAATTAACATTAAATTTTCAAATCTGATACTTCATTAAGTTAATAATAAAAAATACATGCAATTGCTCCCTGTAGATTAATTAATTTGTTAACTACACTTAAATAAATTTTGTATTAATATGAAATGCTTCTTTAAGTTAATTTTTATTTATACAATGTGTAACTTTTCTTGTTTATTTTAAATTTTGATTAATGATAATGGTATTGTAATTTCCTGCAGATAACCCACGATGACATATACCCCGGAAAATTCTGAGAACGAAAATAACATCTCTGTAATCTGCCCACCATATATCCCATGCCTCCATGCCAGCCATCAAAAGCAAAATAATTAATGGTGTTCAGTTTAGAAGTCACCATCTCAAGCATTAAAATAAGGCTTTTTCTATTTTGTTTGTTAACATATTATAGATATACATAAATGACCAAGCCAAAATACAGTACACCTCCCTATAACGCAGATTCATATAATGGGATTCGTATATCACGGTGAAAAAATTGCAACCGTATTCATATAAAGACGCTAAAAGAGACTCGTAAAATGCGGTAAAACGTCATCGCTGACTCGTGTCGCGACAGGATTGGTCGAATCTGGACCAATAGTGGACGAGCAGCTGAACTACTTGCATACTACGGAGAGTTTAGGTGGGTAAGTTGAGTTTACTATTGTCTGTACAGTATATAGAACTAAATTAGGTACTGTAAGTCTAATACAGTCAACAGTCAAAAAAATTATTTCTATTAATGATGTCTCCAAAGTTCAACAAATTTTTCGCAAAAAAATAACTTATCAGAAAACTCAACCGCCATTTGATGTGCTGCTCCGCGACGAAAACAAGCTTAAGGAATGGCATGGTCGAACGGTGCACACAATAAGTAATCCTACAATTTTTTGTTTATAGCATAGTTTATACAGATTTTTCCCAAAAAATTATTCGTGTTTTGGAAATTTGAGTGAAATTAGTCTAGAATCGACTAATTTTATGGAAGAAAACCTTTCAAACAGCTGTAGTCTGTAAATTGCACACATGCCAGGCTGTGATTGGCTCAAGTATTTGAGGATTCCTACAACGTGAAATTTCTATAAAGCGGAATGTATCTACCGCGTTATGGGGTGGTCGACTGTATTTTATAATAATTATATTAATTTCTGCATTATTCAGACTATAGTTTGGCTAATTATTAATATCTATATATATAACCCATTCAACAGGTGTCCGTCCTTCCTTCCTTCCGTCCGTCCCGTAACCATTTGACAACCGACACTAGAGGCGCCCCTATCGTGTGTCATATTTCAAACATTCAAATTAACAATTTTAATTCTTATATAAATTAACAATATGAATTATTATTATTCATTTGGCAATAAATTATTATTTGGTCAATATAACAATATAAATAATTCAGTATATTTGTAATATGAATTTATTATTTCAGGGGCTTATATCTCGCAAAGGGTCGCGAGTAGGGGTATGGTTCCTTTGCCTTTATTGTTCGCACAAGGAGCTACAGTTTGGGGGGTCGCTACCTCTTCACCTAATCTTACCATTGGGACTTTAACAGAGCTGTACAGCATATTGATAGGAACAAAAAAGTCAAAGGAACCGTGCTTCATGGAAATTTGTAAACAACGCCCACTAGGGGGCGTCCCGGGCTACTAGTA